GTATATTTATTAATTAGAGCTTCAATATAATAATAATAATAATAATAATAATAATAATAATATAATTGAAAAGGAAATGAAGTTTACGTTTTTGGGCCCAATGGACCTTTTCTCCATTCAGGTGATTCAACTGTCCCACAGTCTGTACACACATACTCTTCTTCTTCGACCTTTTGCTTTTTCTATAAAATAAAATAAAAAAATATCTTTTAAACAAACTAAAGGAAAAGTAATATCGTGATATTAATTAAGCAAACCTTTTTTCTTGGTCTTGAAGAAGCTTGATTCGTAGTAGTAACGTCCGGAGTTTTAGAAGTTTGGTCGTTTCTAGCAGATAAAGAAGTGGCTAAAGTATCTGATTCCATTAAATCTTCATTTAGTAAACGTGGATTATTTGAGCCATTAGAAATTCCCATAGCACGCTCACCCTCCTGGTACCTTAACCCAGTTAATAATTCTAACGAATTATTTGTGCTTACAAGAATATCATCTGCCACTGACTTCTCTTCTAATGAAGATGAAGAAGATATTATACCACTATCCCCAATTACACCACCCATCATCATAATACCACCACCACCACTAGCACTACCAATTCCACTAACATTATTATAATTAATGTTAGAGGCTTCGGGTGGACCAATTAATTCTCTTAATTGACGACGTAAATTTTCATTTTCCACTTTTAATTCCAAAAATGAATCTATCATTGCTGTGGTTTTAGATGGATATGGTCTACCCATACTAAAAAAACATTTACATTGGCCAGTAATATCATTTTCACCAAAATAAGGGTGCCCTTTAACCTCAAGGGTAATATATTTTTCATCTTTCTTACGAAATCTGTAATAAATTGTAAAGCTTGTTCTGTTTTGTATGGCAATTTGGAAATCTCTTACAAACATATCTATATCGTCAACATGAATAAATTCTGTAATTGAATGGTTTACCAATTCTTCAGGTGAATATCCTACCAATTCAGTTGATGAGGGTGAACAATACATTAGTTTTCCTGTTGGTGAAATAACATGCAAGAAATCTTTTAATTCTTCAATAATTTTTTGTGACCAATTCTTTCTTTTTGTAAACTCTGTCATATTACTTGTTGCGGTAGTGGCAGTAGAATTTATTGCTGATGCTAAACTATTGCTACCGCTTGCTGTTGTTGATGTAATAATATTATTATTATTGACATTACTTGGACTATTAATAGGAAGATCGGAAGTCGCATAACTCATGATGGAATTATCAGGAACTACTGCCATTTCATTTCTTAAAGATCCAATGATAGTCGAAGTGGTAGGTGGGAACCCTTCATCCATGACTTTGTTATCCGATAAAATTTGATGAAAATTCGGTGTAAAATTTTCCATATTTTTTTTTTAGAAGAAAAATTGTTGAATAAATGAACATCGCACAAAATTTTAGGGGTATAATCAAATCACGTGACTTTCTTGTATAGTTAAATATTAATGGTCCAACTTTAAAATTTCTTTATTATTAAAAGTTAGTATTAAAAATAGAATTGTATTAAACACGAAAGGAAATTGGAAATTCAAGTTCAAGTGGACTTGGAGCTAAAGGAAAAAAGGAAGAAAAGAAACGGGAGATGGAGAAGGAATAATTCATCGGGACGATGAATAGTAACATGCGTTTATCTAAATTCTGTAGATATGTCAGTTTATATGGTATCAAGAAATAATTGCGAGAATGAATATTTTGTTAATAAATATATCTTTTAATAATAAAACTGTCAGTGATTAATTTCGTATATGATCTCTATCGTTAATTATCTTAGTGATTTA